TGATATAGCAAACAGTTTAGATTTAACAAGATTTAAATTAAAAAAAAAAAATAGAGAAAGTTTGTTATGTTCAGTTTTTAGATTATATCATTAATAAAATAGACAAATGATGTTTGTGAATAGTTTATAAATCTGTAGTTCAATTTTCAATGCACTTTCTATTAATTCTATAATAATTTAATTATTATATTTCACAAAAACTGGTTAATAAATTTAATTTTCTATACATCTTTATCCAATAAAAGATATAAAATCAAAAAAATTATCAATCTTTCTGCTAGTAAATGTTGCAATTACATTCAGCTTCTTCTGTTGTTATAAGCAAAGTTTTAATTATAATTTCAACTCCAAGTATGTTCTGAATTTTGCATGATATTTTATTTTTTTATTCTATTATTCTTGCTTATGCAGTTTAATCTGCTTTAATTTTTTTATTATTATTCTGTTCTTTATTTTAGAGATAATAATCATGTTCTTTCAATCAGAATACTGTTATCAAAATATTAAATATAATGGATTACTTACAGTACTATAGCATGGTATATTTCATATTATATGCTGTAATTTTTTCACTTTCAAAAATTGAATCTTCAAAATAGAACACTAATGAGAAGGTGAGCTAAATATTAAGAAAAAATATCTAAAATTACTGAAATTTAATTCTAATTGTTGTTCATATTTTATGGATTACAAATTTACAAAAAGTTTATTCTATAAACATCTAGAAATTATATTTATAACCCTTTGCGTTGTTGGAAGAATTTACTTCAGGGAAAAGAAAATAATTAATAAATTTATATATTGGTATGAATCCATCAAATATTTGTATTTCCTAGATTCATATTGACAGTTGGAGTTAATTTATCAAGCCACTGATGAATAAAAATTATTCCTCAGTGGTCTGATGTATTAAATAATTTAAAACTATATTTACATGCAAATTATATTGTCAAATTTTATAAATGGAAAAAAATTAACTGCCATGTGACAAATTTTACTAACATTGATGGTTTTAATCTATCAATATTTGCCAATTGAACTAATTAAACCTGAGAATTGATGATGTAATAATTGCTAAATGATGAATTTGAAATATTTATAAGTACTTGTTTATTATTATACTTACATAACATTTGATGATTATAAAATGCAAATGAATTTTGATATAGTTAATTTAAAATTCATATAGCTTTTTTTATTTTAAAAAGTCCAGATAATTTAAGAAAGTAAATTTACAATATTAATTGTAATACTGTGCAATATAAATTACAACTATTCTTACATATTATAAATTATACATTATCTATACTAACATTATTATAAATTTTGTCTTGGAATAATAATTAAATTACTTTCAAAAGCTAAAACTCTACAATATTTTCATTTTGATTTATATAATTGTAACTGTTATAAAATAAATCAAATTATATTACAAAAAACATTTTTACTGTTTCTTTAAATATTCTTTTAACAAATAAGATAAAATTAATGATGAAATGTAAATGAAGTACAGTACATTGAAATATATTATTTTGTAATTTTTAATATTCTTAGAGTTTTTAGTTCAGTTTAACTTACAAAGTTTTAACTTAAGTTTTCTGTAACAATTAATATATTATCTTCCATAATAATTAATTGTTTTCAATTACCTTTTGTATACAAGATTATATAAGAAAGGACCTGGTTAAATAATTTTTTAATTGGGAAAATGCTTCATAAAAACATTATTTGCTTAAAACTATTTTTATTACATCATTGTTTAATAACATTTTACTTATTTTTTCTACATATAAATTTGTATTACAGTATATTTTTATTTTTAATATTGCATTATTTAAAATTAATTTAATTAAAATTATTATAAAAGTTATTTATAATTGGACGGATCATCACTAATCTATCTTGTAATTTGATTTATAACCAAAAAAACCTCAATAAAGTTATTCAAATGATTTAAAAAAATACTATAAGTTAAACATTATTTTATTTTTTAATAATCGCAAGTTGGTATTTTTTCTAAACGATGTAACTCTTTAAAAATTAAAGAATGGTGTAAGCTTGAATTTTATAAGTATAATAGAAGCCATAAATTCTGATAATTAGCAATAACTGGAAAAGAAAAACTGAATATTCTTTCTTTCTGTTAGATTGTACAAAAATATAGAAAAATGCTTGCGTAATCAATTAAAATAAAGCTTATAATTTTTAAAAAAATCATGAAAGCTATATATTATTTTTAAAATGATTTATTCCAAAATTTTATGATTTATAATCTAGAGGTTTTAATACATTTTTCTGAAAAATGGGTCATATTTCTGAGATTTGTTATGATTTAATATTTTCTTATAATGATAAAATATTTGAGTTCAGAGAATATAATAACACAAATATACAGTCAAATCCATTTAATATTATATCTGTGAGACTTAATACAATACAAGAATTTTAGATTTGATCAAAAGGTTTTAACTGCATCTGTACATGAAGGCCTACTGTATATGTCTTACATTTGCCACATTAAATTTAAATATATAATAAAATAATAACCTTAACATGTAATTTTGTACTTAACAATCATAAAATCAAATAAAAGTAAATGCATGTATTTTTTTTACTTTAATTTGACACAGTTATCAAAGAGTGAAAGAGCCAAAATTGGAAAAACACCTGTTTTTAAGAAGTTTTGATACAATTAAATCTTCAGTGCCAAATTTATTCAGTGTTCTTCCTCAACAATTTTTTATCAGTTTTTTTCAGAATGCCATTTCAGCATTGAAATTGACATTTTGTATAGCTTTTTTTAAATCCATATCAGAATTACACAGTAAGATTAATCTTTGCAGTGTACTCTACTTGATAAGAATAACCAAACAAAGTTACAGTGTAATGCTTCTAACTTTGAAGCTAAAAACTGCTATGTCATTCTCAAAAAAAAAATTCATTTTGGGCAAGAAAACAGTTAGATTTTACACTTAAAATCCAACAACATATACCTGTTTAAAAATTAATAATTTAAAATACAAATTTTCTTTTTTGTGCATATATAGAAAAAATATATTTTTTGAATTACCCACCTGAATAAGAATTTAATTTAATTATATTTTTGGTATTGTAAATATTTTATACAACAAGAAATTCCATTTTGTTTCATCATATTAACATTTTATTGCTTTGTTGTGTATGTTTTTCGGGTATTGTAAAATGGCATCTACTAGATTTAAACTTGAAAGAACTTGACTTACGAAATATGATGTATCTGTATTAAGATCACTTATTTTTGATTATTTCTTATACAAGTTACAAATGTTTTAACATGTTAGAAGTCTGTTATAGTATTAAATGTAGTGTTTTAATTTTGTATATATGCAGTCAGACAGTGTTTTCCAACAGTTCTTATTAGCATATTTATAGAATACAATCCCTGTTGATTCTCTTAGACTCGTCTTTTATTCCTATGGTAAGAGGCTTCCTATACTTTATACATTGGATTGTTTTAAAATAAAACAGTTTGATTGTATTAAACTATTTTTCTCATAGATTGTAAATATTTCAATAGAAATCATAGTTCCTGTAACTTTATATAATAGGTAGGAAATTTTGTCTTTTAATTCAGAAATAATCAAAAATATTCTAGAGTTCCTGTCAGCAATCAGAAAAGCTGTGATTTTTTTGTGGTGCATTAATTTATAATATTTATTTTATTTAATCTGTTAAAGGAAGCCACTGCTTTTTGGTAAGTTTTCTTAATCTTTCTTCTGCATATATAAGTTAATAAATCAAGATTTCATTCATCCTCATTTGCTCAGTATAATTATGTCATCAGAAACAGTATTAAAGTTTCCTTGTTTACTTAATGAATAGAACATAAATGTATAAAATATGTAAAAAATTTTAATAATGATCAGAAAACTTAAATTAGATTTATTATTTTCAATATTTTCATGAAAATGCTTGATTTTTAAATTAAATTAAAGACGTTGTTAACTGAAGAATAAATTTGTTAATGATTGTTAATACGCTCAATATAATTTTATTGTATGTTTCTAACCCAGATATTCTGTATTAAGAGTAATTTTAAAAAGTTATTGTTAAACAGTATTAAAAAAAATTAATTAATTAGAAAACTGCCAAAGTGAAAATATTGTAAACAGATTTGTTAAACTGTTCTTCCTTTCACTTGTTATACATTAAACACTAATTGTTAATATCAGTAAATAAATTGTTCAAAATTATTAAAAATAATAAACTATCACAATTACACGGATTAAATGAAATTGTTAAAAGATTAGTATTATAGTATAAAGAAAAGTTGTAAATATTTTTGTCATATTTTGTTGTAGGTTTTAATGTCAAATAAATATTGGTGATATTAAATTATAAATTATTTTTTGTATGATTTCCAGAGTTTGAACTTGTTTAGTAACATTTAATAGTGTTGAAACAAAACCAGTTTATCTTGGCACTACTTTGGCATGATAAATATCAAATTTAAATTTTACTACACACAGAAATTTGTAATAAAGAAATTGGTATGAAACATTCATGCTCTATTAACATTTTCCAAAACTTTCACTAGGGAATATAGAAAAATTGAAATTACTCTAGTTACTACAATACAATAAAACAGATTTGAATTTATTATTTAAAAATAATAGTCTAAATTTATAATAATATTTTCATAAAAAGTTCAGGTAAGTTCTTTATACTTAATTCTTAGTTTATACTATACTTTCTTAATACTATAATTCTTAGTTTATAGGCCTATATATTACTTAACATTGAACTCATTAAATATTTTTAATTAATAAAATTTAAAGGTTATTTATTTTAAAAAATATATTTCTTAATCGATATACATTTCTTCATCCATACAATTAAAAATTGTTTTTCACTTTTTTAATCAATTTTGCAATTTTTTTTAAATATAAAAAAAGTTTCCTTATTTAAGTGAAAAACAAAATAGAACTAGTTTCCTCTTTTCATTCTAAAGCGTATTTTGAACCGTTGACCTACAAAATAGATAGATTTCAGTTTTCAGTTCTATTTGCAATAATGCTTAACGCATAATCAATGATAAGGCAAAATTAAAAATTTCATTTCTATCGTAGTTATCCCGCGATATATAATAATTATGAACTTTACACCGCTTATCGCAATTCCATCTTTGACGTTTTGCTGACAGAAATACGATCATATATGCCAACTGATAATGTGAAAGAACTGCCATATTTGGTTTGATATAACTGAAAAGGGATTAATTTTTACTACAGATCAGGTAAGCCCTTTTGTATATTTTGTTAAATGTATCAAATATACAAAAAATAACTTTAAATTGATTACAGACTTAAGTCAAGGTGTGACTAATCTGTTTAGTTACATTTTGACTGTGGATTTAATATAGATATGATAAAAAATTACTACATTACTTTATAATTTTTTATTCAATTAAAATTAAATTTAATGCCGATAACTTTAACAGTTGCATGCTTATGGCTTTGCAACAGATTATAGATATTCACCATACATTTTTTGGAACTGTAAACATAGGCTATAACTAAGAATATAAATTCCGAATTACCATCATTATTTTTTGTAGATTTATCATATTTTTAATGGAAGCGAAAAGACCGTCGTTAGATTCTTTAGATGATATTATTTTAGAGCCATTTTTAAATGATGGCTATGCAGAACTTCACGATGATTTACAAGAAAACGTTTTCGATTATCAGGTAATTTACAATAGCTTTTATGTCGACAAAATTTTTATTTTAGTTGTATTTATAAAATGCTCATTGCATCTAACAGGAAGAAACGCTATACGAACATAAAACACATTGTTCGAATAATGGAAAAGTCAATAATGATGTAAATGTGAGTATTATTGACTTACATTTGTTTCCAATATCATTGTGTTTTGGTGTAAAATTTAAATAATTTTTATTCAATATTTCCCTTTTAAAATAATAATAAATATATTGTTATAGGAATTAATAGAAAATAAGGGAGATGAAAAGGAAAAATTAATTAATAACAATCGTGTTGATAACGTGAAACACGAGGAAATAATATCCGAAAAACATTCTTTAAGGAAAAGAAAAGCGGATTTTGAAATGGTAAAATTTTGTAGATGTAACATATTTTCTTTATACTTTAAGTGTTTTTAGCTGGTGTTACGAAAGCGTAAATGATGTTTGTACAAAGTACTAAAACTTTTGTTACGACTCATTATTAGTCATAATATTGTAGATTATTGAAAAAAACAAGCGGAAAGATCGTCGACATTACTAATCTTAAATTAGTATTAGGAAAGCTGTTGAGATTTTATATTAAGGGAATGTCCAAAAACCAAGTAGCCTAGTTGAAGAGGATAAGGGGCAAGGTCCTAGAATATATCGTAAGGTTGTTTCATATGGCTGTTATAGGAATTTCCTGCCAGATTCGGGATACATTATCCGAATGTCAAGCGACTGCTTCACAACACTTAAGGGGAAAAATACTTAATTATATTCTTGGGAATTCGGATTATAAGTAATTATGCCGAAGCCTTTTGTTTGAATGCTGCCAAACTCACTCACTGGGCTTGTATTAACAACTAATTGTTAATACAAGCCCAGTGAGTGAGTTTGGCAGCATTTGTAGACAAGTGACCTTTAGAACAGAAGATTAAAACCGAAATTATTATTAATTTTAGCTTACGGGCAAACAAAAAAGCTTCCACACATAAGGGAAGAAAACTTTCAAATTTGACTATTTTTGTTATTTTATTAAGCGTTTTCACGTTTGAAAGTAAATATAGCTATTGTTATCATTATTAAACATATGCTGATAATTATATAGATAAACATTTTATGTAAATAATAATATTACAACAGAATGTCAAAGCGGTGAAGGAATGTCTCATTCTATAGAAAGTATCCTACTGTATATGCAGTACGTGTGAAGATACATTATATTGATTATTATATTAAATGCGCTCTTCCTTTTCTTTTAAAAAAATAGGGGGAATTAGACACCTATCCTTTCCCCATAGAAAGCTATGGTTTACCATAATTTAAATTCTAAATTATATTTTGCACATTTATGATCAATATGAAAACTTTAAATAAAAATCTAAATATATAAATTAGAATGTTTGGTTAACTAAAAAAAACATTCATTTTACTTTTTTGGGGTTGGACTGGGTGATGTGAAAGTTGGAGAGAGGTGGCATTAATCATTTTTAAGTGACCTTTAATCCAGTCGTAGAAATGTGGCAACGCTATGTACACACGTAAAGCAATGTCTACTGATTTAATTGAAATTTAAATAAATAACATCAAATAAGCAACCAATGAGAATTGTGTCTTCCGTAGAAGATACCTTATATTCTGGGACCTTGGGTAAGGGATACGTCAGTGACTATCATGGACCATTATAACGGGGAATCTATAGTCACGTAGCCTATTCTCTTAAAAAAATTGTTCTGAGTTTCAATATACAGTGAAACCTGTTAATGTGACCACCGAAGGGACCAGCTTAAAGTGGTCACCTTATGCAGAAAGAGGAATGTAGGTGTTCTTGAATGAAAAGCACTTAGCTGAGTAGAAATAAGCAAAAAGCCTAAATATAGGAAATTAAATATGACATAGAATACTGTTTATTCAATTTTTTGTGAGAAACTCAATCCTGAATTGCTTTATAACTTTTTGCTTTTAAATTTCATCAGCTACAGTTTTATTTGCTTGACATACTGGCATAAGAACTTCAGGAGTTTTTGAAAAAAGAAAGAATAAAATGAATCTCACTTTCGAATTAAAAATCAGCACAAAGAAACTTAACAATAAGCAAAGAACACATGAAGCTATCTCACTCTACACAAAGTCAAAATACGAAACATCTGACAAGGGAAACTTCAATATTGACTCAATGCGATTCCTATCATAACGCTAATGCAGCTGCTAAAAATTGCACAGCGTTGCTAATGTTGTTTCCAATTTATGATTATTTAAAATTTTTCAAACTGCCATTTCTTTTACTCAAGCTTCCAAAATAAATATCTAAAAAAAGAATGTAGTAAATTTAGTTTAAACCCTTTATCAACAAAGTACAATGGTTTCAAATATTATATATTTTCAATATAATTTAATATGTTTCTTTTTAATGGTCACTTTACCCAATATGTTTTCTTATCTTGGGACAAAACGAAGTAGTCAGTGGTCACTATACGCAATATATTCCCATTGCAAAATGTATTATTTTGCTGGGATCAGTTCAAAGTGATCAACTTAAGGAGGTTTCGCTGTAGTTCTAAGTAATGAACTGTTACAATTGTTATTTGTATTTGATCTGTGTGTTTTTGGATCCGTTTTGTTGTGTTTTTACGTTTGTTCGAGAGAATTGCAAAAAAAAAAGAAACCTTCGCTATTCTCCTACCTGATGTTTAAATTTAAAAATAAATGAAAGTATTTGGGTTCGACTTTTAAAGTACTATGTAATTTTAGTAGTAGGAGTCACTTGTCTGGCTATAGAAAATTAGCAGAATGGGGAGGGTGCTAAAATTTTCAAAATGTCGGGCTGCGTAGTTTATGGGCATTCCCTAATGTCTAAGTTGAGAATAATGAATATTTCGATTATTGAATTAACTGATTGGTTTTTATGTGTTATAATGTATATTTACTTTCTTTTCTGCTTGAAATTAAGCTTGAATAATCTAATCTAATATGCAAAAACGATTTAGAATACTGTTAATTTTATATAAATTTATATACTGTACTGAGAAAAAACAGTTAAAAAGCATTTGTAAAAGTATATCCTATGTCGATTTTATAATAGTTCTTTATTTTCTGATAGGTAAATCATTGTAAAAATAGAAAAATACAGGAGAATTCTTTACGTAAAGAATATTTTAACAGAAACGGAGTTTATGAAGCAAAAAGGGACGTAAATATCAACAGCCTCAGTTGTAAAAACTATATTTTTATCTCACTTAAAATTTCAGCTTTACTTTGTCTTCTGAGTATTTTCATTTATTATATATATATATACTATTTATTTTAAAATTTTAAATGTGCTTTTATATTAATATAAAATATATACGATTATATTTATTTATGCTTTTGTATACTTTTACTTGCATATTGAAATATTTTTTTATATTCATTAAATGTATATAATAATTAAAATACGTTATAATCTCAGTTATGTATTTGTCTTTGTTGAAATTTAATTATAAGTTCGGAAAAAATAAAGAATGGAACAGAATTATTTTAGATGTAATCTAGGAATTTATACGATTTTTGCTTTTAATTTTATTTTCGGCGATTTAAAAATCAATTTATAAAATTTTTAACATTATAATTATTTTAAATGAAAATAAATAGTGTTAAAAAATCATTTAAGATATCAAGATAATTTATATCAATTATTTTAATCTTGATTATATAAAAATAAAAATGTAAAGACTTTTATAAGTTAAATATAAACTATTTCAGATTAGAAAGTATAGATCTAATCTAAATCGATTAAACTCTGAATTAAATATTTTATTAACATTTATTAAAGGAAAAAAAAAGTTGAACAAATTTAATAATATATATAAAAAAAGTAACACACAAGCGGGAAATATATATGATTATGATTATTGTTAGTAAAACAATATAAACAATAAAAATTTATCTTATTTAATATTAATTTAATAAAATTTTAAAATAAAAATATTCTAGGGATGGCGATTTTACAGCGCGCGTGCCCAAAGTGACACGTAGGAAGAAATGTCTGACACAGCAATTTCTGTACAAACAAAACCATAATAAAAACTGAAATTAAGATAATTTGTTGTGTTCGGCTCAATATATCACCAATCTCTCTCTTTTTTTTTTAAATTAATCTAATTAAAGTACATTCATTTCATTTCTTTAAAATCAATTGTTCCAAAGCTTCGGCACGAATAAATTATTTGATATAGGCCTATAATTATGCCCAATATATGGCGTGCGCACTCAAAAAGGTTCGCCATCTCTGCTCTAGGCTACATAAATTTGTAAAATATACAGTAAACCCCGACCTTTAACTTTTTAATAGAATTCTAATTTCTCGTGGGTTTAATGTCATAAATGAAGGTTCTGTAACAGTTTAATTTTGTATAATACGATACCGAGGTGATCAACAAAAAGGAAAAAATATACAGTATAACTTTGCTTTGGGGCCACCCCGAAATCCCCCTTTATAGCTGTATAAATTTTAATATAAATAAAACTCCGTATCGGCTGCCATCTCGATCTCACTTAAGTGGCCACGATGGGAGTGTCCTAAAGTGACGTTTATTCTCGCTTACATGGCCAATAGATCAGGAAAACACAGCCTTTTTTAAAATCAACGTATTGTTTAAAATACTTAAAATGGAATTGAGTTTTGTTGTTATACTTCTGGAAGAGTTTGCTGAGATCCCCCCGACAGATGATGTTCAAATAAAATATTCGACAAATTAAGTTTAATCTAGAATTTAGTAAGAATTTTTTGTTCAATAATTTTTGGTCTGCTCTAAATCATATTAATTAATCAGATTTTATTTCTATTATATAATTTTTATTTTTTATGAGGAAATGATATTTAAAATTTAAGGTTATATTAACGTAACTAAAGAATCCTTGACCTTATCGCATCATTTTTGAAATATTTAATTAGAAAATATTTACATGAACAATTATACAGTATCATTTTAACAATTTATATTAAAATTAATAAGTTAACATTTTATAATGGCTGTTCCAGAAGGTGAGAGACTTCAAATTTTCATTACTTACATATAAATAATTTAAAAAATTATAGTACTATAAAATTCTTTTATTATTAAAAGTATCGGTAAATTTCAACTTAAGCAAACTCTTGTACCTAAATTTATTGAAATTTAAAAAATACATTCAATAATAAACGTGGAATTGCTTTAATTTAATTCATTTTTTATATGAATGCCTTTAAAATTTAATTGTTAAATTAATTTTCTTTTTCCTTCCGCTATCTTATCGTATCAAAATTTCTGCAAGATGAAGACTAAACAATTCTATGTTTATTCGGTTGAAACGAAAAACTGATACACTTTTTTTTAATTTTCGAATATAAATCGATTTTAATTAATTTATACGGTATATAATAATTAAAATCGATCAATTTTTCGTTAAATTTATATACACAAATCAAAATGTGATTGAAACTAGTCTATCGAAGATACATGCTAATGATATCAATCAAATGTTTTATACAGTACTTTCTCGCCAAAATCTAGAAATCGAGTTTTCCTTTTTCATAAATAATTATTCAGTTTAAAATATAATTTCCCGAATATTTTCTTTTATAATTATAGAAAAATATTCATCAGTATGTATATTAGAAAATAAAATATCGAATGTTCTCATACACATTGATTCACGGGATGAGGAAGATGAGACCAATCAGAAATGTGGAATCTCATCTCACAAAGTTAAAAAAATATATGAATAAAACAAATAAAAGTAGTTTTTTTATCCCTTATATAAATAGTTCCTTAAACCACCTTCCTATAAAATCTTTTACATAAAATATCAAATTTTGAGCTCTTTCTGTTAGGCGGAACAGATTGC